CGTCCATTTTATACTTAGTTAATCCATTGCAGTTCCACACAGCAAATGATAAATCACTCCCCTCAATATGCTACGCAACACTACCATATTTTCCATCCGTATATATTTTTCCATCAATTATGAGTTTATTATACTTAATATATGCTTCCTTTTTATCATCTCTTGCCTTTTTCATAATTGGGATTAATCTCTTTCTCTGTGCAACAACATCTGAAGGGTATTGATCATGCATGTATAATCCGGTGGCTTTTGAGTCAACATTTTCCTTAAACGATTTTACAAACTGTTTGGTTTTAAAGTCTTTGAAGGTTACCACAATATTTTTGGGTTTACTCCCTTTCCGAATCCCAGAACGATAAGCTCTTTCGATTTCTATAGATTCTGCTTCATCCTCCGGTATTTTTAAATCGTCCTTGAAGTATTCCTTTACTTTGGTAACAGTTTGATCGTTTGTCTCGTGCTCACATTCCTTAATACCACCTATGATCAAATTGTTCACAGGTGTCATCAAATCTGACCTGGGTGACTGCATTTAATTCACCTACACTACCTAAGACAATTAGTAGGCATTGACACTGGTACTTTTTTAACCTTTATATGTATGATTGTTCAGCAAATTTTTTTTAACCTTAACATGTATTGTAATCATACATGTAATCATTGTGATTACTGATTAATTGGTCATGTAATTTATTAAATTATGATTAAATTACAGGAAAAAAATATGATTACTGATTACTGTGATTACTCAAAAAATTGTAATTGATTAAATTAAATTAAATTACCGATTATGATTACCCCATGTCTGATTTTCTGTACTCATAAGAATATATTTTGCAAGAGCATAGTTTAAAATTCTACGACCGGTTTCTCTAAAAAGGCATGTTCCATGATGGCCTCAGACCACAATTATTTCCTTTATATGTTCTATATAAACATAGTCCATGTGGCAATTTTATTAACACTCCAAGCATATCAAAGTCACCTGTGCTTATAGTATCATCCAACCTAAATTATTCCAGCTATAGCAAACTAGGGGTCATGCGGCATTTGTGCACAGCAATTCAGCTCAATATACATCAGTTTGACAGTTTTCTGTAATCAGTCGAAACCATGTGAATTATGTTAGGTAGGAAAACAGTCAAAAGTATTTAACCTAATTATGTGTTTCTAACTCCTACGTTGGAGATACAAAAGACTAATTATAAGTTTAAAAGTCCTACGTAGGACTTTAAAACTCCTACGTAGGACTTTAAAACTCCTACGTAGGACTTTTTACTCCTATGTAGGACATTTAAAAAAAGCCATTTAGGAGTTTTAAACTCCAAAAAAGTCATTGAAACCTCTACCTAGAAGAAAAAAAAGTCTAATTATGAGTTTAAAACTACTACGTAGGACTTCATAACTCCTACGTAGGAGATTTAAAAGTCTAATTAGGAGATTAAAACTCCTACGTAGGACTTTTTTAACTCTAACGTAGGACTTTTTAACTCCTACGAAGGACTTTTTTTGTGCGTAGGAGTTAAAAAGTCCTAGGGTATGGGTTTAAAAGTCCTACGTAGGACTTTCTGATAGAAACTTTATTTTTTATAGAACATTATGAAATGATACCAGGAAGCTTCCGTAGAAAGTTGCTGCACAAGCCAAATAATCTGTTTTGCTATGAAATCATACCAGAGTACTTTTGAATATTTTTCACACTACAACTTTTTATAAAAAGGCTGCCGCAAAAAAAAAAAAAAAAAAAAAAAAAAAAAAAAAAAATAGAAACCAAATTTACAACTCTTGAAAACTTTAATACATCCAATGTTAGAAACGGGTTGTAAGGAGTAATTTTGATATTCAAGATTAAAGGGAATTTTTCAATGGAAATAATTCATTCAGCGGATGTATTTGATTATATTAGAATAAATTTCATTCCATTAATTATCTTTGTTTATGTTAATTTATTTATTTTATTTCTTTCTTTTTCTTTTTGTAATTATTTTTATTTTTTTTCTTAATGTTAGTTACACCTGCCCTATTGGAGCCTCTCTGATAAAAAAACTACACTGATATATACAAGGTGCGAAAAAAACTCAACTATATAGAAGTTGAGTTTTTTCCCTTTTTGAATCAGTGAAAAAAACCTTGGTGCTATATATCAATACAGTTGAATACGGTCACTATGGCTTTCTTATCTACGTAGAATTGCACAAATAAGTAATGAAATGTGAGATACAGAACAGAACAGAACATACCTCAAAATTGTTTACAATTACATGAGTATACAATGCAATAATAACTATAATAGTTTCATTGCACATGACATGGTACAAACAAGATATGGTATAAATGTTAATTATTGTTGTTTATTTTTTGGTCAACCGTTCGCAATTGTGGTTTTATTATCTTATATATACGTGTATCATGTTGATCATATATTTCAAGACAATGATAAATTTAGAAAATATGAAAAGATTATTTAATCTAAAAACAGTTTATAAATACAAAAGCAAAAACGGTAGAAGTTCTTCGCCTTGCCTTTATGCCTAAAAAATTCAATGTTGTATCACGTCTACTAAACGAACGCCTTTAGCATTATCGGTGGTGCTCTTTTATTATTATTATTATTATTATTATTATTATTATTATTATTATTATTATTAGAAAAAAAATAAAAATAATTACAAAAAGAAAGAAATAAAATAAATAAATTAACATAAACAAAGATAATTAATGGAATGAAATTTATTCTAATATAATCAAATACATCCGCTGAATGAATTATTTCCATTGAAAAATTCCCTTTAATCTTGAATATCAAAATTACTCCTTACAACCCGTTTCTAACATTGGATGTATTAAAGTTTTCAAGAGTTGTAAATTTGGTTTTCTATTTTTTTTTTTTTTTTTTTTTTTTTTTTGCGGCAGCCTTTTTATAAAAAGTTGTAGTGTGAAAAATATTCAAAAGTACTCTGGTATGATTTCATAGCAAAACAGATTATTTGGCTTGTGCAGCAACTTTCTACGGAAGCTTCCTGGTATCATTTCATAATGTTCTATAAAAAATAAAGTTTCTATCAGAAAGTCCTACGTAGGACTTTTAAACCCATACCCTAGGACTTTTTAACTCCTACGCACAAAAAAGTCCTTCGTTGGAGTTAAAAAGTCCTACGTTAGATTTAAAAAAGTCCTACGTAGGAGTTTTAATCTCCTAATTAGACTTTTAAATCTCCTACGTAGGAGTTATGAAGTCCTACGTAGCAGTTTTAAACTCATAATTATGCTTTTTTCTTCTAGGTAGAGGTTTAAATGACTTTTGAGTTTAAAACTCCTAAATAGGCTTTTTTTTAAATCTCCTACAAAGGAGTAAAAAGTCCTACGTAGGAGTTTAAAAGTCCTACGTAGGACTTTTAAACTCATAATTAGTTTTTTGTATCTCCAACGTAGGAGTTATAAACACATAATTAGGTTAAATATTTTCATAGAACATTATGAAATGGCACCAGGATCTATTTTCTATCACATAAAGATTAGTAATAAGCCATAAATGTTCGCAAAAACGGGAAAACATGACATGGTTCGCTGGTCAAGGCAGTTTTAAGGGGTCATTAGGAAAGTGAATGGTTTCGGACAAAAAAAGTTTCATAACAATTGCTATTACAACTGCATGGATAGAATCAAAGACTTAGGTTTACATTTCAATCAGTAAAATTATAAATTAGGATCAATTAACCACCAATTTCAAATGTCAATTACATCATACGTATATATGGGCGTGTAATGTTCTTATAGTTATATACTCAGCAAATTATCTTACAATTAACAAATTGCTTAACAAATGAACAATGCGAATCTTTTTGCAGAGAAAACCTGTTTCAAGAAATATTTTATTCTTTTTATAATTATATAGATTATTGTATATTATATATTAGATTATTATAATATATATTATAATTTCTATATAAAATAATTAATTTTATTCCTATGAGTTAGTGAAGTCATAATGGGACGCCATTCATTTGCAGACTAGAATCCTGTAAATGAGTTTATAAAAAAGTAGTTTTGGCGAAGTTATTTCACAATCTGCAAAAGAAGGCACAATAAAAACCCACTTTGTGCAATAAAAGAGAAAACAAGAAACAATTAAAATCCCCGAATTATACTCGCAAGATAGGGTTTAGTAAACTCACAATAACGGTATTGATAAGAACTATATATTTGCAAAAGGGGTTCTTAATTTCCATTTATTTGTAGTATTTAATAATATTTTACAAATATCTTGCCAGATAATGGAAAAACATTAAAGATCATAGACAATATGGTGCGGACATCGACGTGTCTAGAAATAAAATAAACATTTGAGCCGCGTCACGACAAAACCAACATAATGGATTTGCGACCAGCATGGATCCAGACCAGCCTGCGCATCCGCTGTTCGCTTTCTAACTCTATAAAATGTAAAGAAACTGATAGCGAACAGTATGGATCCTGATCAGACTGGGCGGATGCGCAGGCTGGTCTGGATCCATGCTGATCGCAAACCCATTATGTTGGTTTTGTCGTGACCGGCTCATTTTTTAAGTTCCAGCATTTTAATGTCAGTTATTGAACGACGGAAATGTTTTGTTTTTTTGTTGGGTTTTACGTCGCACCAACTCAATGAAGGTTATATGGCAACTTTACAGCTTTACTGGTGGAGTGATACTCTGTGCATTATTTTAGGCACAAGCGGGGACCTATATAGAACTACCTAAGTTCTGTAAAACTGATAGCTTCCTCGCATAAAAAAAATCAAAGACCCTTGAAGGATTAGAACCTACAAAATCTGGAAATGAATGTTTTAATCGGGAAAGATAACGTATTTATTTATAAGATTCAATCAACACCGCAGCAGACTCAATGCTTCCTTTTATTCTCATGAGTATCTAGGTAGTCCCATTTAGTTTCATCGGTCAGATCTCAAGATCAAGTGGCAGTTGAAATATTTGTTGTATCATCATTTGTAAGAAATGAAATAAGAAGACTAAGTATTTAATATTCCACAAAATAGCTCGTAAATCACTATTATTAATATAATCTTTTAAATTTAACACTTATATATACAAATAAAGTGTAAAATAAATTATTTTTATCAAAAGCACATATGAAATGTACAAATTACTTAATTTGTAATGTACATATGATCTAACATATCAAATATTATTTGGTAAATTTTGTCTAATACTTTTAACAGAATCTATTCCACGAATCATATCAGCAGCTTTTTCAGCAACCATTATCACTGGGGCATTTGTATTTCCCGATGTCACTGCTGGAAACACGGATGCATCAACAACTCGCAATCCTTTTATACCTTTTACTCGAAGTTTTGAGTCTACAACAGCAGTTTTATCTTCATCAGCGCCCATTTTGCACGTGCAAGAATGATGATATACCGTCAACGCTAGGTGGCGCACGATACATTCCCAGTAATCATCGGAGCGGAACTTGTGTTGTGAACAAAATGACAACTTCATTTGATTCATGTCAACACCAAGTTTTTTCATGGTTTTTGTTTGCATAAACCTTTCCCATAATCTAATACCTCCAATAAAATCTTCAACATCTCTTTTGTCTGTAAGATACTGAGGATCTAAAAGAGGGTAGTCAAACGGATCCGAACTTTTCAGACGTAAAGTTCCACGACTTTTTGGATGGGTAACACTAACAATAAAGTTGAACCCTTCAATGTTTCCATGTTCTGCTAAATACTCCTTGGCAATGCTGTCTTTAATGTTAAAAAAGTTTCCGTCTATAAACTTACTGAATATGATAGCTTGGACATCTGCATACGATTTCCCTCGTTTTGACTGGTCATTATAGAAGAACGCTGAACCATCCGATCCTGCAATAGTTAGAGGACCAGTGCCAAATAAATTGTACCTCAATCGAGTCCAGAAACTGTTCAGAAGGTCATCAGACAAACTGATTGGTTTTGTTATCTTAGAAAACAGAAACACCATCTGGTGGTCGTGCATGTTATTGCCAACTGGAAGATCAACAAGAACAGGGATTTTCATTGATTCTAGATGCTCCTTTGGTCCTACCCCAGATAACATAAGGATCTGTGGTGAGTTTATAGCACCCGCCGACAAAATTACTTCTTTCTTAGCTCTTACGTATGACTTTCTACCATTTCGGACGTAAAATACACCATCAGCTTCTTTATTTTTAATGTTAACTTTTGTAACAAATGTTTCTAGAACAATATCAAGATTTGATCTTTTACCGATTCGTCCAAGGAACGCTAATCCAGTTGCGTCACGAACACCGTTTCTAACAGTAACTTGAATTCTGTTGAAACCCTCTTGGTCAGCACCGTTATAGTCCGTAATATTGAAACCCAGTTCTTGTCCAGCTTTCATGTACTTATCTGATAGTTCTGTTACACGGCCACCAGATACTGCCAATGGGCCACCAGAGTGATGGTACATTGATGATTTCAATTCGTCTATTTGAATGTCCTCTGATTTCAGAAAGTATGGCAAAACGTCTTTGTAACTCCAACCAGTGCAACCGTTTGCAGCCCATTCATCGTATTCGTAACGGCTGCCACGAGTGTATTGCATAGCGTTGAAAACGCTTGACCCTCCAAGAACGCGCCCGCGAGGCCAAAAACCTCTGTTTTCCTTTAACCCTAAACATGAAACTTTTTGAGGCACCGTGTAATATTCCCAGTCATGTTTAGTATTTTCAAGATCAAGCCAATGTATTGGAATGTGGAACTGTGGATTTTCGTCATAAAATCCACCTGCTTCTATCAAAAGAACGCGAGTTTTGTCGTCTTCTGACAATCTTGAAGCCAATACGGAACCAGCCGATCCTCCCCCGACAATAACATAATCGTATTCGTCATCGATTGTATCCGAAAGTATCTCCCTGTGATGTTTGTAAGTGTTGTCTCGTACAAAGCAGTAATAGTAAAGTATTGCAATGCAAAGTACAAGAAGTCCCTGTGTTATAGTCGCCATTTCTAACCAATCTCTCTCTAAAAAAGATCATGAATAGAGAAAAGTGTTAGAAAGTAAAAGCACAAAACATAACAATAAAACCGATTGTTTTAAATATTTTTCAGAAGTAAATATCTTTTCGAATATCACTAATTGTTTACAAAACGCTAAAACTGCTAAAGTTACTTTACCGTAAACACCATTACGAATTCTGTATGCTTATTAGTTATATTCAGTACGTGTTCAAGGGCGCGGAGGAAGGTAGTCTAGTACTGGTGTAACTCTCCAGGAACGATGGTTAGGAAACTACCCGCCTATATGACTGAAATACTGTTGGAAAAAGGCGTAAAATGAAACAAACAAACGTGTTCAAGGTAAGCTTCTCGTGCGTATCAAAAATGAATTTTAATAACCATGTTTACATTAACAAATTGTCTTCTTTGTTACTGTTTTGATATGCAATGCCCGTGATTTTAACAGATCTCTATTTTTTGTAATTACTTAACATAATTCTGTATTCCATTTTTGTTATATTAGCCGTGCAATTCATTTAATTGACTAGAGAGCGTCTGACAACCTTATTTAGTTTCATAAAATACACAAAATATCACATCTTTTACAACACTCGTTTAATGACTTGATAAAAAAAACATAATTTGTGTAAACATGTTTTGTGTGTTTTTGCATACATTAGAAACCGCAATTAAGTAATTTATAAATAGTGAGAGTTTCTATATAAAGTTTTTATCATCGTCATAAATACCAACAAAAACAGGTGAGGTACTCTCTCTTGAAAACTGTATTAATATTTAATGATGATGTTTTATCATTTTGATATATCTGTTAGATCATAACTATCATAACACTTAACATTCATTAGGACAAATATTGATATAGAAAATATTCCATTTGATTAAAGAATCCTTACCTTATGCAAACTCCAAACTGATCAACCGTTTTCCACTAATAAAACTTGGCCTAATATAATATTCGCAAATAGCGCATGTGCAAACATATGATTTAGGTTACTCAACCTTATCATTTTCTACATGAAACAAAATGACTGTCTGGATCAATCTCATTTAATATGGCATAAGATCTCATGAATAACATACGTATTTAAAACAAGAATATTTCAGGATAAATTAAAATGCCACCCTTCTGATAGCTATATATATTGTCTGAATATGTGTCGCTTTAAATGCTAAGAAAATGCATTTTATGAATGGTAATCGTTTAAACAATGCCTGATTTTATTTGACTCCAGCCACCGAATGTATGTCAATGTAAAATTGTAACCTTGATCCAAATTGTGCCCTACATTATGTATAAACAGGGTTAATAACTTATCTTTCAGTGTAAACAACATCTAGGTTTACTAACGGTGAAATGACCTTGCTGAATCAACAATAAAATTTATTTCACGCGGGAATACATATACAAATATAAGCTATCAGCTTATTCGGACATATTAAAACCCTCATACCATTAAACCTTGTAATTCAATAATAAACTGTACATATTCGGCACAAACACTGCACAGACGTGCAGGTCGTCTGTAGTCATTGTCCCTCAAACTACGCACATAAAAATCAAGAACACAATAGTATGATTTGTTGTGTCAGTCTACCTGTATTTCGTTATCTTATATAAATCTACTTAAACTGAAAATTTGTTTTAAAAACATAAATATATGCAACAAATTAAGCCGAGGATAAATAGTTATTCGTCTTAGCGAACTGACTTCTTCTCGTCTGTAAGAAGACACTTTTGAAGAAAAAAAACGAGTAACTGAGTAACTACATGTATCTGACTAATGAAACCATTAATTGTTAATAACAGATAAATAAATAAATAAACACAATTAATAATTAATAAATAATAAATAAATTTATTTGAAAATAAATGTGTATGATATTTCTTGTTGAAAATATAAAACTTTGGAAAATATTTACTTGGCCTTAATTAGAGTAAGATGTCAGCAAATTGTATTTCTACGAAATTTTCGTGCACTTATTCCATTCGGAGAGAATTTGAAGCGGACAGTACGTTTCGGAACTCAACTTTGATTTTCCTTATTCGTTAAATGTAATTCATACTGTATACCCCCAGCAGAGCTATTAATTTTTACGTCTGTAACAAGACATTTTTAAATAACTTACTTTCATGGATTTAGTCCAGCTAAAATATACGGTGTTCTACTTGCGCCAGTTAATGCAAGATTTTCTCTCTCTAAAAGTGTTGTGTCGCACTTTTGTATTTTTATATATAAAAATAAGGAGATTTTTACATTTTCGCATGGAACTCGCGTTTTTCATATAGATATTTTTATTTTCAACAAGGGTGCCATAGTCACAAAATACGCCCGTTTACGAAAGCTTTAGATGGAGATGGGGGCATTATGGATAAGTGTTATCTAGCAAGCAAGTTTTTATTCTTGGCACTGTGTTGTTAAATGAACCTTAAAACAAATCAGTAGGGAAGATATGCACAGGATGTGTGACCTTGACTTTGGTCGCAGGGACCTGAATTTTATGCACGGCACTTAGCCTCACAATGATGAACATTTGTGCCAAATTATATTGAAATCCCTCTATGCATGTAGAAGTTTTGCTCCAGACAAGCGTTTTTCTATGAGCTCTAACTGTGACCTTCACATTTGACCTAGAGACTTGGTTCATGTGCAGGGCACTACGTCTCATGGTGGTGAACAATTCTATAAAGTAACATTAAAATTCCTCCATGCATGTAGAAAATATGCTCCGGACAACATCTGGATATTTAATCATCTCCAGTTACCTTGACCTTGCAAATATTAACCTAAATTAAATGTGTCACACCTGTAGTCATGATAGTTACCATTTGTGCTACAATCCATCAATAAATGATGACTAAATGGTCCCTATACACATCTTCAAATTTTTATCTGAACTTTGACCTCTATGTGTAACCTTGACTTTGGTCGCAGGGATCTGAATTTTGCGTGCGACACTCAGCCTCACAATGGTGAACATTTGTGCCAAGTTATATTGAAATCCTTATGAATGTAGAAGTTTTGCTCCGGACAAGCGTTTTTCAATGAGCTCTAAGTGTGACCTTGACCTTTGACCTGGAGACCTGGATCATGCCTGGAGCAATACATATCATGGTGGTGAACATTTCCATAAAGTATTATAAAAATTCTTCCATACATGTAGGAGATTTGCTCCAGACAAAATCTGGATATTTCACCATCTTTAGTGACCTTGACCTTGCATATATTGACCTAAAGTACATGTGTCACAGCCGTAGTCATGATAATGACCATTTGTGTTACAATCCCTCAATAAATGATGATTAAATCGTCCCTATACACATCTTCATATATTTATCTGAACTTTGACCTCTATGTGTGACCTTGACCTTGGCTGCAGGGACCTGAATTTTGTGCGCGACATTCTGCCTTACAATGGTGAACATTTGTGCCAAGTTATATTGAAATCCCTCTATGCATGTGGAAGTTTTGCTCCGGACAAGCGTTTTTCAATGAGCTCTAAGTGTGACCTTGACCTTTGACCTAGAGACCTAGATCATGTGCGTGACATGGCTTCTCATAATGGTGAACATTTCTATGAAATTTCATTAAAATCCCTCCATGCGTGTAGGAGATATGCTCCGGACAAAATCTGGATATTTCATCATCTTTAGTGACCTTGACCTTGTATATATTGACCTAAATTATATGTATCACAGCCATAGTCTTGATAATGACCATTTGTGTTACAATCCCTCAATAAATGATGACTAAATGGTCCATATACACATCTTCATATTTTTATCTGAACTTTGACCTCTATGTGTGACCTTGACCTTGGCCGCAAGGACCTGAATCTTGCGCGTGACACTCCGCCTCACAATGGTGAACATTTGTGCCAAGTATTTTTCAATGAGCTCTAAGTGTGACCTTGACCTTTGACCTGGTTCATGTGCGCGACATTGCTCCTCATAGTGGTGAACATTTCTATGAAGTTTCACTAAAATCCCTCCATACATGTAGGAGATATGCTCCGCCGCCCGCCCGCGCCCATACGCCCGCCCGCCAGGGGCGTTCCCATAATACGTCCCGTTTTTTCAAACGGGCGTATAAAAAGTATAGTAAAGGGGGGTAATTTTTAGTCGGTCAACCCCATATAACAAGATCATTTTGATGTGTCAGGCATGTCTGTCTCTTAGAAAAAATCACATCTTTATCATGAATACACAATTTCAAGGTAGATTTAAGGGTCATATCTTATAATGTAAGTATTTTGGAAAAGAATACAGAAGTCTCAGCATAATGCTCAGGAATAAGTATATGACGTGTTAATTAACACATTCCTTTCAGCAATTTTTGAGACGCTAATACTTTACCAAAGTGTGACGCCGACGCCTTGGTGTTTACAGAAGCTCTCATTTTTCTTCGAATAGTCGAGCTAAATACAAGAGATTTAGTCAATATCGGATCTTTACAGGCGATATTTAACTGCTTTAAACATGACATCATAGAAATACAGAAAACTGCTTTAAACATGACATCATAGAAATACAGAAAGTTGTAGTGAACTTGAAGTAAATTCAGTTTAGGCAATTAAACATAAACATGACATGCACTGCTCACTGCTTCTAACAACGTTTATAATGAATGAAAGTGAATTCTGTCCGATTGTGATAAGTGCGAAAACATTCTGTGCGACACCTTACACTGCCTAAAGGTCATGTAAATATTTTCTATAGTTTTATATTTTCAACAAGACCATACATTTATTTTCAATTAGATTTATTTATCATTCAGTGTGTTTTTGTTTTAAGTGTTTATATATGTAAGATACGATAACTCGTATTTTCTTCAATAAGCGTGAAGGAGTGAGTTCCCTTGGACGAACTCTGCTTCGGCTCAAACAATTTGTTTTCTTGCAAACTGTTTAACGTCTGTAAGAAGACACTTTTGTAGGAAAACGCGTACTGTATCCATTACTACGAGTATATTTTTTTTTATTTACTAACAAACCTTCGAGGATACATATTGTAAGTGTATGATTGCCTGCCAGCACTTTTGTTTCACAATTAATTTTTACTTTTAAACAATTTGAGTTTGAACATGTGATTTTTATGTCTCCCAAAATATTTTGGAGAAATATTGTTTTTGCCTTCGTCGTCTGTCCGTCCGCATTAAGCTTGTTCGGCTTTCACAGGTCAAACTCCTAGGGAGATTTCAACCTACTTTACAGGATCGGTCACTACCATGTTCCACTTCGCTTCACAACAAAATGGCCACCAGAGCTATGGCTGTCACCACACTACAGACGGTGGGTCCATCGCAGCGGCGGTGGAGTATTCGTCGCAGAAGCGGTGGATAAAAAATGACCGTTTACTGTTGTCGGTAAGTTTAGGACTGATTTTAACTAAACAGCTAGTGAGACGGTAGCCCTCATATGTACTCGTCCAACTTATAACACGCACAACGCAATTCATTGCCGTTTATGCAAACACGTCTGTACAGTTTGACGAGGGGACGCCATTTAGCTTGATTGTGGTTAAAACAGGTACAAATGTGTGCAAAACGACCCCTACTTACACCAGCATCGCATCGTCTGTATGATATACTTACACAAAACAATCATACTTTTGAAATTTTGAAATATGTATTTGCCTTTTTACAAAAAAAAAATAACAAAAAAAATATTACTACGCCGACGGCAGTGGATTCGATTGCAACGCAGTGCGGTGGGCCCGATACAAACTTATAAAAGAGATACTCGTAAAGATTAACAGAACAATCTTTTTGAATGTAAAGAGCAATCTCAGTTTTGAATGTCACTGTGTTATATTAAATAATGAATTTAGAAACACCAATTGATAAAATTTTTATCTTTACAGCGAAAGTATTATTTTAGGAATGGTTTTCTGTCTATTTTTTTTTTGTAAACCCCTCTGCGTTATACAGCTTTAGTAGACCAATAACCGCAATAATATTGTTGTATAAACCGGTCCTCCACAAAAGTTTTATATAAGAGACTCAAAATTTGGCTGCGACACGGAAGTTACATTCTACCAGGTGTTGTGTAATATGATATACTCTCTCATTCTCTCTTTGATACGAGTTTGATAGAATGCTTTAACATACGCTTTCGTAGTTAGAATAAAACCTATTATAAATATTCAATGGTGTTCTGGTGATAACTGACCATCGGCGATAGTACAACATGGTCATTCAAATAGAAACACTGATTCTACAAAATTTTATATAGATTTTATAGGCAAAGTAGATGATAAGGGGTATTTATATCTGTTAGTGTGAAAGTCATTAGGCCTCTCCACAAATCATATAAGGATCTTTCTTTTTTAATTTCTTTTTTGTTTTTTTTTGTTTTGTTTTGTTTGTTTGTTTGTTTGTTTGTTGGGTTTTACGTCACACAAACACAGTATATAGGCCATATGGCGTTTTTTTTTAGCTTTATTGGTGGAGGAAACTGCATATGCCTCTCCGTGCATTATTTCAGGCACGAGCGGGCATCTGAGTAGAACCACCAATGTCCTGTTAGCTAGCTCACATGAAAGAATATATTTAGCATCTAGCATTGCGTTCGGACGGTTACTAGACCTATATGGATCATAGCACTTGATTAAAAATGTCTTCGCCATTATGTCACTCGTTGTTATTATTGTGCAAGGAACAACTTTGACATTTCCTAGAAATGAATATCAGTTGAGTAGCACTAGTGCCTAATATAGTTATTTATGGATTATGTTTGCATTTTCTTTTCTTTTTTTTTTCTTTTTTCATGTACATGAATATAAAATCATTTGAACCATGTTACTAAAGTGTCTGATTTTTCTGTGCTCATGAGTTGACAAATAAAAAACACGAATTCACCCGTTATAATGCTGCCGACATTCAGATATCGGGCGATATGTGATAACAATAAACCGTGAAAGAAATATCCAGACGATATCTGATAGTTGACACCGATAACTGGAATAAAATTCTGACAAAAATAGTAATCAAGCATAGCCGATGGGATAAAAACGTTGAGGCAAATGGCGAGTGTCACTTCTTGTCGTCAGATTTTGCCAATTTTTAAAGTTGAAAATCTTGTTAAAATGATATTATTTTCTTTGAGACCGTACACTCGGATAATACGAAACGACCTACGGCCTTCGTGGTCAATTCCTACGCATCAAAACTCCAAACCGGTGTTAAAAAGCCGATAAACACCGCTAAGACCGATATTATTTCTTTATTATATTCTTAGAGACCGAAAACTCGGATAATACGAAACGATATTTAGATATAGGAGAAACATTTTAAAGTTGTTACAGTAAAAGAAACATGAGCAGCAATATGCGGGCCCGGTCCCGAGTTCCTATGATAAGAACAATTTTAATGGTGTTCACATCTACATTATTTTTTGTGGGGAGGAAGTTTGTGCAGCTTTGATAAACATCCATCTTCCGTAGTAGATTCCTGTAAATCTTAGAAACCACCCAGACAAATTCAGTAATTACAGCTGCAGCAAAAGAGTTATACATGTAAACAATACTTATTTGTATAAATAAAGTAATTCTGGACACATTTATGACAGCATTATTATTTTCATTCAAGTTGTGATCAAATCACTTCATCGGTTTGGTCATTTATGGTTCACAACACAAACTCTTACAATACTAAGACAATGCACATATTGGCGTAATAACTGTTAATGCTGTACGGCATTCAGGGATACATTAAAAAATGGGCAAAGGATGTACTCACAATTCCGAATATAAAAGCTATGAAGATTATAAGAAAGATGACATCACGACATTCCCTCTGTTCTAGTGGTCCATGAAATTCGCCGTCCTGATCTTCGTCGCTAGGTGCCTGAAGTAAATTGGTAAATACATGTATATGTGAATAGTAATAGAAAGAGCATCGACACGAGGCTATCTGATTTGTACGCGGGGGCGTAGCCCCCGAGTATTAATAAGATTGCCGAGTGTTTTGATGTTCTTTCTCTTTTGTATCATGGTCAAACATAAAAACACGTTCCCTGTTGTCACAATATGAAACCCCGGCAAAAAGGAACCAGTGAACGAACATCTGAACATGATATATCTGTCGCTTCTTCTTTTTCTGCCGTCACAATATGTAAATGAGCAAATTAATGGGCATGCTTTGGAGTAATAACTAATACCTGCACTCCAGTTAACGCACTGTGCATGTATATGGACACATTTTCAACAGAAAGGTCCCCAAACAATGATACAAGTATCTATAATGTCTGCTTAATGTAATAAATTGTAAATAGTAATTTATTATTTAATCCCTTTTTCATATTTTATAAATTTCCATTTAAAATTTTTCAAACGATAATACATGTATTACATTTCTCAAAACGGCAGGAATATCATGAGAAAAATCTTTTGTCTTACGATGTGAACATTAAACATTTTAAAAAGACATTACAGTATGCACCGGAAACATTTTTTTACTTCTTCCGAATAAACAATAATTTTATAACCTTTAAATAATAGTTTAAGAGCATGCTACCTGCTGATCACCCGAAGAAAAGAACTGAATATGAAATAACTTGGAATTAACAAAGTATTATGACTTCCATACAAAATATATAATCGCTGTACATACTAATTGACGATAAACGTGAGGGTCGAAATATGGTTCAAGGACATTTGCCAATGAGTAACTTTTATGAAATTATAAAAGAACATCAAAAGTAAAAAGCTGTCTAGAGATAAAAGTAATTAAAATTAATTAAAAGCTTTTTCTATTAAACGAAACGCGCATTTGTTCCTATATTTGAAGTACTCAGGCGTTTGCGTATTGATTTAGGATATTTACAAAAGTTATTTTAAAAAAAAAGTGCATCCTATTTCAAATAAATTATTTTTGTGTGTGATACATCAAAATCCTGATGAAATAATCGAAGGTGAACAACTTTTTTGTTTTTGAGATTTTCGATTTAAAGAAAAGTTATGTAGAAATCTACAGTGCTTTAAAAAACAATACAATTTTCCCTACAAACAATGACCATTACATTACATGTCAGAAGAAATGATACATTAGATAATTTAGAGCTAGACTTTTACTTTCGCTGTTTTCGCTACTGGAGAAAACTTAATATCCGTAATGTACTGTCAGAAATTTTCAAATTTAGAAATTTTCATTGGACGAAAAAGTAGCTTAAAGACTACGGTAGTGTGATGTATGTCCTACTAAGACGAACAGGTGGTGTGTTGTAGGAGCACATTTCAGTAGTTTCATTGTCCTTTCTTCTGTGCACAGTATTCAAATTTTGTACCTTTACACGCCCGTTTAACTCACAACGAGTGAAAAATGTCCATCGGTTAAAATGTTGTGAGCAACTTCCGTTCCTCGTTGTGAGCACCCATCTAGGACGTGTGACACGATAAACAAGGTGAGTTTTTCATAATTTTTGAAGATTACAGACATTTATGTAAAAATATCGGAATGCAGTTAGCTAGCGATGTGTTTTCCGAGTATGCACATGTAAAGATATTGCATGTTGGTGGACAATTTGATGGAAATACCGTGCGACGCAGTCACTCGGGGTAGCAGGAAAACTGGAGACAAATTCTCTTTGGACCTAATTTAACATTGAAAACGTCGATTCTGGTAACGTTTTGTGCATTAGATACCCTAAAACAGATGCCCACAAGTCTTCAGCGTAAATTATTATCTAAAAGTCTTCATAGAAACGAAGAAATACCCTTTTTTGCTTTAATCCTCGTTGTGAGCACCATAACCTCGTTGTGAGCAAGACAAGGGCAGTGCTTGTCTTGTTTTAATATGTAATTTAAATGGCGAGAATACAATTTTCAATCTAACAAAAGCAATCAAAACGTTTTTGTACAATAGTTTTTCTTTGCAATAGTTCTTCTTTTTCTTTTTTTTGAAAATAATTCTTCACATTCACAAGTCATCAGATTAACAGAAGAACTAATCAGTGGGGGTAAATCAGGTATTTTTTATTTCGTATACTCTAGTGTGGCTCGAGTGAACATTACGGGGAGTTTATGAATATTTCAACAATTTCACAATCTGTGTGATACACACATACATGTGTTTATCCTGAGCTGAAGACTGACCAAGGTACATGTATGTAAAACAAGAATTGTCACGGTAAGTTGACAAGGCCCCGAAGTGGTGCTTTGTTCTTTGATTTATGGACCAGATAGATTTTTTGTTTTTGAACAATTAGATCTTCAATGTGAAGGTCGTTCAAGGTCAAGGTGAAATTAATATAGGTCAGTTGGAAGGTCTTGTTTAAAGAGGCATTGTGTCCAAATATGAATTAATTCCATTTACTAATAAAGAAGTTATGACCAATGTTAAAGTTTTTGGATGTTCTAGGTCATTCAGGGTACAAGGTAAAAAAAAATACAGATCAGTTTGAAGGTCTTGCCTAAATGGGTGTTGTGTCAAAATATGAGTAGAATCCGTGTACTAATAAGGAAGTTATGACCAATTTTTTAAGTTTTTTGACAATTTGACCTTCAAGGTGAAGGCCATTCAGGGGTCAAGGTAAAAAAAATACAGGTCCGTAGGAAGGTCTTGTGCTAAGTGATGTTGTGTTCAAATATATATCAAATCCGTTTACTAATAAGGAAGTTATGGCCAATGTTAAAGTTTTCGGACGGATTGACGGACTGACAGACGGACAGTTAAAAACTAATATGCCTCCCTGTGGGATATGCACAACGTCTTGCAAAGAAATGCTGCTGTGCAAAAACGTTTTAATTGCTTTGGTAGATTGAAAATTATATTTTCACCATCTGAATTACATATTAAAACCATACACGCACTGCGCTTGTCTTGCTCACAACGAGGTTATGGTGCTCACAACGAGGATTAAAGCAAAAAAGGGTATTTCTTCGTTTCTATGAAGACTTTTAGATAATAATTTACGCTGAAGACTTGTGGGCATCTGTTTTAGGTTAGAATGCACAAAACGTCACCAGAATCGACGTTTTCAATGTTAAATTAGGTCCAAAGAGAATTTGTCTCCAGTTTTCCTGCTACCCCGAGTGACTGCGTCGCACGGTATTTCCATCAAATTGTCCACCAACTGGCAATATCTTTACATGTGCATACTCGGAAAACACATCGCTAGCTAACTGCATTCCGATATTTTTACATAAATGTCTGTAGTCTTCAATAATTATGAAAAACTCACCTTGTTTATCGTGTCACACGTCCTAGATGGGTGCTCACAACGAGGAACGGAAGTTGCTCACAACATTTTAACCGATGGACATTTTTCACTCGTTGTGAGTTAAACGGGCGTGCTTTAGCCTTTAAACTTTAAAGTTTAGGATTGAGACATCAGAATTGCCTGCATGATTGTAAGAGGCGACTAGTTTGGTTCGAATTACTCAAACATTTTCATTGAGACAGTTAACATTTTTGTTTCAATGTGAGAGTGATATGGAAACACACAAATGTCAACATTTGAATCAATTTTCATCGCTGGTTATAAATTCGAATGTTGACATTTGTGTGTTAGCTGCAAATGTCAAAATAAAAGCTACATTTAAAGTTATGAAAGCCAGAACTAAGTCCGTCAGTACTGTCCGAAACAGAAACAGAATTTATAAAATGTCACTGCAAAGTACTGTATAAATTCTGTTTCTTGAGAGTGAGTCAAGCCCTACCTTGAATGGGCCTACCTTTGTATCACTGCTGCAGCAACATCTATGACAGACCATTATTCTTCCAGGAATTATCTCGGTTTCAATGTCATCAACTATTTCACAAATTTTTTAGATGACGTCATTGTTCTATGACATCATTAACTTCAGTTCAGTATGGTGGCTGATTTACGCCATGTCGTTGGACTTTGTCGTCTCTTCGTGTTTTCGCTTTTCGAGACAAAAAGCGAAAATACGACAGAAGGAGGGCGAAAATAACATATAAAATCTGTCGTATATCTGTATCCATCTGTGGTATTTTCGTTTTTTCGCGTTCAAAATACAAATATGCGTAAATTTACACACATCCGCATTGTTACATTTTAGCATTTATTTACTGAGTGGCGACATATGTACTACGGAAGAGCATTAGTGCCAGGTGAATGTTTTTTATTAACTCGAAATTTCGAGTTACTAACTCGAAATTTCGAGTTACTAACTCGAAATTTCGAGTGACTTATCTCGAAATTTCGAGTTACTAACTCGAAATTTCGACTTAGTAACTCGAAATTTCGACTTACTAACCCGAAAATTCGACTTACTAGCCAGAAATTTCAACTTAGTAACTCGAAATTTCGAGTTACTTATCTCGAAATTTCGACTTAGTAACTCGAAATTTCGACTTATTAACATTACAAGAATGGCCAAAGTTATTTTAGATGGCATAAGATATAGTAGGCAGTGCCTTTGAACGATGGAGATGGAGAAACGGGTGCCTGGACAAAAACTATTGAAATTTAACTTAAACTTAGTAATGGCATGTACTCACCCGACATAAAAGATACAAGGCTTCCTTTAATTTGTACGTTCAGGCGTTCTTCAGACGTTGTATTGTATCCCATCTGTTCGAACATATCTTTTCACTAATCATATTCTTCTCATCCCTGTAAAAAACCGATCCTATACTTTACGTGTGGGACATCTTTGGAAAGTATCGCGGCGTGGCCAAAATAGGGCGTGCTGAGGCCTTTGTCAAAATTGTTGGACTGACTATATTTCTTGTAAAATCGGATGCTTTTATATTGTTCCCAACATATATATTATAACAAGTATCACTTTTATCAACTTTTATCAACACAATATGAATCAAAGTATTAGTAAATAATGAATAATGTTACAAAAACATTATTTGTATAAAGAAACGTGACAGACTAACTGGCCTATACACGTCATTTAAAACTTATTTAACACATGATATTGCACAGTTTACAATAGGGTGGGTTTTGGACTTGTTGTTTCTCCATATGATGGTTGTAGGTGTGCTTAAGAAAAAGAAACACCCTGTTAACACGGAAATGTGGAAAGTGTGATTTTACACCCCCCCCCCCCCCACAAAAAAAGCGAAGGATATGTTCAGTATGTGTGGACAATTTGACCCTAAAAAATTGTTCTGTTAAATAAATGTTAAAGGTGCTCTGTCAATGTGCAACAACTACACACGAAAGAAAGTATCTTGAATTCAATCCTTGCTTTCACCGGCAACCAATGAAAGTCGTGCAATGTAAGTCAAAATTTCGAGTTACTAAGTCGAAATTTCGAGTTACTAAGTGATTATCCGATTATGTGGTTCCCAAACTTAAAAGCGCTGCGCATTTTGCACACGGCAAAGCTTGGGCCACATAATCGGATAGCTTCGTTCATAGCCGTCTGGTCCATTGAATTTATCGAAAGATTTTGTAGTTGGAGAAAAACGATAATTTTGATGTTTATTTCGGCTGTTGCGTTGTTTATATTACCGTTGAAGTTTAAAATTGACCATCATCGTGAAGAATTATATCTTCTGTGTCGATGGACCAAAGGATTATGTGAAAATATTGGAAATGGAATAAAATACATGGTGATTATGACGGTAGGGGTGCGGATTTTTTCCGGCGAACATTTTTATCTTGTGTATTATTATAGATGTTGAAATATGATTTTTTTTTCAAAACGGCTTATATTAAGTTTTTTTGATATATATGATCAGTACATGTGCTGGGATTGACAAATATGCATTTTATTTGGATTTTAAAGGCGTTTTGAGCTCCAAACCCCAAGTGTCTGTGGAACAACGGTACACGCTTTGAAAGTTTGAGACATCATCAGTCAGGAAACAGTTGTGCCGGCCTTTGGAATGTAATGACATTTACAAATCAGAATTTATCCACAAAACGTTGCTTGTCATATTACAGATTTCGTAGATACCATTCTATTTACGAGTCCTGAAAGTTACCATTGTTCAACAGTTCAAGTTTTGTACAGATGCCAAAACAAACATAAACGATCATACTTATGGCGAATAAATGGTTCATGGTTGACATGTCTAAACAACATTTACCTGTTTACACCAGATGGATGCCACCTGTTTACTCTGATCAGCTACGTCTCATCAATGAGATAAGAACAGCAGCTTGGTCGCCGCCCCGAAGCATTTCATTTGTCAGGCAAAAGATAAGTATTTTGTTTACTATGTCTTTAAGTTATATTGTACTAAAGTCAGTATTTTACTGCATTGTATGCCTGCCCTGTTAATGAATTTATCAGTGAGTAAATTTCTTTATATTTATAATATATAAGGTTATAAAAAATGAAATGCATTGCCGGGTTTGTTGTTGGTCATCAATTATTCTCCTAATGATAATGTACAAGAATGCAGTATTAATCAGGCATGATTTTTCCTGGACACATAATTGAAGTTCTATATTAGTCGTGTTAGTTATCACTTATTTTCAATTCATTTACAGTTCACACAAACTTCTAATTAGAGTAGAAAATAGTACATGTTGATTTTCTGCTAGTCTACTATACATTTGTACACACATCATCATAGCAGTATTATTTAGCAACATGTTAAGTAACAGTCCAGATTGGAGCGATTTGGCCTTATTTCTTTTTAATTTTACATTTTTTTTTACTCCAACTAAATACAGTTAGTGTGATTTAGTTTATAATTTCCATACATTCATGTTTCACTGTTTTAGTTTTTCAGTCATTGAATTTAAGATTCAAAATTACTGTTCTGAATTCTTATTTTGAATTTATTCTACTATACACTTAATCAAATTTTCTTAAAATTTACACTGACCTGAACTAATTTTCACTGGCCTTGGACCAGTGTTAAATTCTATGACTGGTTTTACAACAGTTTAAACACGATTACAACACAAGGTTAGTTTACAGTCCGTGTTAGTTGCATTTATACATATTCTAGTATACATGGCTTAATATATAGTTTATGTCTGCGTGACTTAGTTAACATTTAATACACATTTTCAACACAATATAGTTGACGATCCATGTGAGTGTGATTTTGTTTACAATTATACGCATCGTATGATAAATGACTTTGTTTATAATCCATGTCTGCTGTTCACACATAGTTTTATAATACATGTACATGTAAGTGTGATTTTGTTTACAATTCGCACACATCCCATGATACATGGCTCCGGTAATAGACCATGTCTTAGTGATTTAGTTTACCGATGATACACATGGTTTAGTTTACACGCATATAATATTCTACACATGGTTTAGTTTACACTCCTGGTGAGTGTGATTGAGTTTAGAGTTCTTGCATATCCAATTATACATTGCTTAAGTTTATAGACAATGTCTGCGTGATTTAGTTTACAGTTCACGCCTATTTTCTACACATGGTTTAGTTTACAGTCCATGTGAGTGTGATTTAGTTTACAGTTCACACTTATCATATTATACATGGCTTAGTTTATAGTCCATGTCTGCGTGATTAAGTTTACAGTTCACGCCTAATAACCCATGGTTTAGTTTACAGTCCATGTGAGTGTGATTCAGTTTATAGTTCACACATATCCTATTGTACATGTGTCACAGGGTGAGAAAAATGTGCAGCCTGACCGGGACTCGAACCCGGGACCCTCGGAATACCGTACCGCGGCTCTACCGACTGAGCTATCCGGCCGCTTACACATCTTCTCCCCTAAATAGTGAACAGTTCTGAACCGTGACATACTCCCCTGCTAAATTGAAATTCGTCCTCGAATTTCACAGAGTTACAGAGCAATGTAAATTAAACTCTGAGCTATATCAGTCACGGTCCCCCGTTGGGCGCCAAATGTCACAGGGTGAGAAAAATGTGCAGCCTGACCGGGACTCGAACCCGGGACCCTCGGAATACCGTACCGCGGCTCTACCGACTGAGCTATCCGGCCGCTTACACATCTTCTCCCCTAAATAGTGAACAGTTCTGAACCGTGACACATGGTTTAGTTTAAAGCCCATGTCTGCGTGATTTAATTTACAGTTCACACTTATTTTTTCACACATGGTTTAGTTTACAGTCAGTGTGAGTGTGATTTAGTTTATAGTTCACACATAATTATCCTATTATACATGGTTTAGTCTATAATCATGTCTGCTTGATTTAGTTTTCAGTTCTCGCTTATTTTTTCACACATAGTTGAGTTTACATTCCGTGTGAGTTAGTTTACAGTTAACACATTCTATTATACATGGTTTAGTCTATAGTCCATGTTTGCGTGATTATGCTTATGAATCACGCACAATGTAGTCAGAATTAATTTAATAATCAATTACATTTCATACATTTAGTCTACCTTAATGACAAAATAATTCATATTTTTCAGATGAAACGGCCACAAATTCTCCTTACACCTGTTATTCAGGTCCACAGCAGACAACAAGGAAAAGCCAAACACCAAGAATGTTCAGTAAATCCTGCAAAAACCAAGATTAGTCGAGGGAGCAATCATTATCATTGAATTAATAGTGCAAGCGGACCTGAGACCTAAGACAATGCTTTCATCAGTACATTAGCAGCCTTTCATTACATGTTTCATAGGTTTCAAGGTTGAGTCAGACAATGAATAAACTGTTGTTGGCATACATGTTTTACACAGCTTCAAGGAAATTCATATTTATTGCCCAAGACAGTTGAAATAACATAAGAAGTAATGGTATTCAGATTGCTAAGCTAATAATTACACCTTTTATAAACCAAGTTAAATATTCATTATGCAGATTGCTAAGCTAATAATTACACCTTTTATAAACCAAGTTAAATATTCATTATGCAA